AAATTGTTTTAATGACAAGTTAGGTCAAGCATTATATTGCATAGTTATTAAGGGCTTATTCATACATATCGTCATACTGTTCACTTTCGTTATTATCTCAAGTTGTTTGGTGGTCAAAATGATTGAATTCTATGCAAAGTCAAACATTGAATTGAATCTTTTTCCTTTAATATCCTTCAAATATTAGTACTTTAGAGATACATATATGTTTTGCCCCGCATCGATTAACAATAACTCCAAAACTATCGTGTTTATGTAGAACAACGTGCTGACATAGATTAGGAGATGGTAGTGAATTCAGAACTTAGAATCAGACATCCAGGTGATCAAAATAATTAGTGTTTTTTTTTTTCAAAATATATACTTGATATGTCAATGTATTGTCCCAGAACAATTGACTAAACCAAAATTTAAACCAAGAGCAAAGCAAATATTACCTAATATAAGCACATTTTCCCTTTCTTGTATTCTACACATTTTTCAAAAACTCTTATACATTCTCATCTTTTGAATTTTGAATTTTGAACTGATGATATCAAAACTGGACAAAATGTGTTATATGGTGCAGTAAATATTTATTTTGTTTGACTTTCTATATCAACAAACTTATTTAAAATACCGTTTGTGTTTCTCTACTGAATTTCGTCTGAGTATCTTTCTAAATTGTATGCTGTATTTTGTTCTATCTGAAGGCTAAATCGTTTCAGAAAAGCATGTGTTCGCCCTGGACATTTTGCATCATAAAATACAAATATTTCACCATGTGTATGTATACCCATATCGCAGACCTGGAAATCGTAAAAACTAATGTAGTGCTATGTTTATACAAATCATAATAGTTTACCTCTAAATCTATGATATGGTTACTGAGGTCTAAATGCGCTATCTGAACACACGTGCATGGTGTGCTGGCTCCAGTGAGCTGTTATGATTCAGATGAAGAGGAGAGATGTTTTAGGTGTAAGTTGTGCTGAAGTAAATCAAATTATGTATGCCAACAGGAATCCAATGTCGTTGATTACATCCTTATCATTTATATGTGTCTTCTTCAGTGGAAGATACAAAGTTAAATCCAGAAAAGAGAGAGTTAGATACAACGCGTTTTATTACATACAAACGTTATTGGCGTAGAATCATATTGGTAATTACAGCAGCTATGCAGCAATAAAAAAAATAAAAAGTTCTCGTTATCAAATAAAGTATATCTTACATTCCTTTAGTGTATACATTTCCGGTTCTGGATTTGCGTTTCGTTTTGATGAGGTGTTTCCTCGAATCCTGTTTATTTTTTGCACCACCGTTCAGATCCGGTTCTGTCCTTGTGTATTGCCGCTATTCTTTTTTGCCTTGTTAACTACGTATCATACCAGTGCAAATAAGCATAGCGCGATGGTCAATAATTGGTATACGCAATAAGTCCTATATTGCATGAAGCGAGCCCTTGACGGACTTTTAATGTCAATGTAGGGAATATGCCCATATCATCAGTTGGTATTATCCCTTTCTGGCTTGAGTGCCATTTTATACAATTAACATGAATATAGTCTAGTTCTCTTCTAGTCATTGACGTAAGAAGAAGCCTTTAATGATCCCATACCTGATATATAATAATAATAGATAAAATTAATACACCAAATTATCACTAATGATAGCAGACTCAGATAAAGGCATTGGGAAAGGTTAACTTCTTGAAACATCTGGTAGTGATATCAAAGTTTTTCGATTTTGGGCAAAAACTAACCTTGAAATGTATCTTATGGGAGTTTAACCACAGTATCTGGATTCAAACACTTAACTTCCGAACATGAAAACACTTAACTTCCGAACATGATACCATCGCTCTGGCCAACTGAGCTACCTAGTCAATTATGTAACAATGTTCAAGTCTAACTTCGGTTATGTAGGAAAATAAACGTAGGGAGGTTACTGTTGTTTATGGAAATAAAAAAGGACAGAAGAGTTGTGTTCTGTGTTTCCCTGTAGTGGTACTGGACCCTTTAAATGTAATAATATAACGTAAACCAAGGTCTTCTTTCAATACACGAATTCACACGGACAGCACACTGATAGAAGAACATCATAAGCAATATATCTAAATTGTTAATCGTTGCTATGATGAAGACATGAAAAGGTCGCCATGGTGATGGCCTGCAAACCAACAAGGTCGCCATGGTGATGGCCTGCGAACCAACTATGGTATTTCATTTTCCGCTTTAAGGCATGTCCCCAATATCATTGATCAATGACAACCAACTTCTTTCCATGGTTGGTTCGACATTGATTTATTCACTTGGAGCACAAAATGCCATTTTATATTGTTTTTGTTTATGAACATGGTTGTGCTCACCTTCTTGTTCCCTCCAGAATCGCTTTGGTTCTATTTCCCTTTCTTGAAAGTTTCTGATTCTCTTGTATATCGAAACTTATTTAACAATATCCATTTCTCGAAAACATGCAACCATTTGCCTAATGGTCTTTCTAAGCTGTCACAATGGGGATTAACCTTGCCGTGTGACAGGGAATCCAATCTTCTGATTATTAACGACATGTCCTCAGTATGTCAGGATATATGTCAAAGTGGCATGAAGAGGGCCTTGTACGTCAATAAGTCTTACCCGAAATAATTCCTCAACCTGGCAGGAAATCGTACAGAAATGTATGCGTTTTCTGAAATATTTTTCTCTCTTTACGAAAGTTTGTGGCATTTATAAAATCAGAACACATGAACATTACAAAACGTGATTTTTAGAAAACTAATGTGCATATTTGCAGTGCAATGCAAAAAACGTTTTAGCTTTTTCTTTGACCTCTAAAATTATTGTATAATTGATGCAAGACGCGTTCGACGACGAATACTGTAGGGAAAAAATATTGCGTAGTGCATTACACAGTATTTGCCATTTATTTTTAATTAGAAGAATTTATGAAATCTTGGTAGAGTTCGCATGCTTTTTAATATTTATACACCGTCCATCAAGTAATCACCCCAGCAGTAGTCATTTATCTAAACGCTATATGTCGTTAGCATATGACGAGTAAAGGAATTACGTTGGCCTGAATGATGTTGATTCATTGCCAACTGCATATGGCGTGTTTAATCTTCTAAGAACCATCGCCGCAGCCGTCCATTTCTATATTGAGCTGTATACATACTCTTTAAAGGAATTCTGCAACACATGTTACAGGTTTGAATTTGATTTTTTTTTTTTTTTGGCAATGTGTAATTTGATCTTAATTTCGCGCACTTAGAAATATGTTGACGGTAAAACGGCGTTATTCTATTAAGAAAGTGCCAAGTACTTCGATTTACCCTTTATGCTATTTTTCATAAAATTGCAACCTTTAGTTAAGACACGTTTTATTTACATCCTGAATGAAGATCTGTTTCAATAAGTGTGTCTGAGATAGATGGTTACCAACAACAATACATGTATTGAAAGGCAGCAATGTAAGGACCGGATATGACGCAGGATTTCCGAAAAACCTGTTTCCGCTTCCGTTTTTTTGCTTTTGCAGTACATGATGTCATTGGTTTTGATAAATATGTTTCAATATATAAGGAGACTAATAGGTGCACACTTACGCTGTAGTGCTACGTAACTGTATACATGTTTAAGTCATAGTTTCTTGTAGACTAAGCTTCGCAAAGAATATTTTTTCTTAATATTGATATTGTTTTGGCTACTCCCTTCATTATGTCCCTTTTAAGCTATAAACGAGTTTTTATTAACAAGATGAAATCAACACGTTATTTCCGTTTCAAACAGCCGAGCCCCAAAGCCTGACTAGCATCTCGTTATTTGATAAAACGTATTTTTAACACATCTCTGTTATGTCTTCCTTCCTTTTCATCTCGTTTACGTTCCTTGTTCATTAAATAAAGTGTCTATCTTTGTTTTAATGAGGACACACATTTAGCTGAATACTTCCTTGATGATTTTTTTTTCAAGTTGATTTTAGGGGAATTTAATACGTTTTTGTGAGTTTTAATTTTAGACAGTTCATCAACACCTGATCATGCAAAATCTTGTTATGTTTGTGTTTTTTTTTTTTTTATCTTAGCTTCCATTGTTGCAAACAGATAATATGCCGAGCGGATTAATGACGTTATAGTGCAAAAGAATCAAAACCAGTGATCTGATTACAAAGCAACAATAACAGCTAGATAAACAAACATGAAAGAATTTCAAGAAATGAAAAAAAAAGAGATAGTTTTGTTTTAACGACTTTATTAGAAAACAACTATAGTGCTAAGCTTGCTTTTAAACGGGTTAACATCACGAACCGTTAACGACATGATATATTGTGAATATAATACAATCTTATAAAAAAAACCTGAGTTTCAATCAAATGAAACCTTTTTTTAAATTGATATTTTCGGTTATACCATTCAATTATGTGAAACATCTAGCAATTCCCTGTCAGAGTATCGACATTAGCATGTCGTTTTAAAAAGGAAAATAGATATTAAGTTACATATATTGGAAATGCCATTAAGTTAAATGCATTACCAAAACCACTCTTCAAGCTATAAGTTAATGATACAACTCAACATTCTGTAAATTGTAAGCAATACACATTATAATTACAAATAAAGCTGTAAATGTTGAAGAAAGGTTAGAGTAGTTGTATATCTAAATGCACCGAGCTAGTTGTTTGAGAGTCAAACTAGCATTGAATGTATCGAAGTTTAGAGAGCAGATAACCTAAGTTTAGTGAAATGTATTTAAATCTCAACGTTAATGAAACTAGAGTAAATATGAACAAACATATTTATTTTACTGAAACACCTTAACATGTTCAAGGAAAATAAAAGCATTTTTCCGACAGGGAGCGTATTGTCTGCTTTATCAATAATGTAGAATTATAGTATTGTTTAAATGCCGTTTGAGTATCCAAGTTTATTTGATCATATAGGGTTCAGGAAGGTTCATCTAAAAACAAAATAGTTTGCTATCACATTTTTAAAAAGCCGCAAAAAGAAACAAAAAGATACATACCTATTGTTGATGACACCAGCAAAGAGCACAGTATCCGAAAGATGTATACTTGTATCCGGAACATTGCGCTGTGTCCGGACCTACAAATTAGCTAATACTCCAAATAAACAGATACACAAACTTCATAACCCGTCCACATGCTATTTCGATGAATTTTTTCATACCACGTTTAGGAATAATGACATAAATCCAAACTACCACTGGAAATTATTGCGAGTTGTATTCTTCTCGACAGCAGTGCCTCGAATGACTACTTTACTAGTGCTTTATGTGTACCTGGCTGACTGACGCCTGCGTCTGTAAAAACATGTTACTATCTAAGATTTGTTATGCTCGTATGATACATCCACACCAGTGAGCTGAGGTTAAAATGCCAGCATAGCATTGACATTTCCATGATATACGAGAAAAAAATCAACCAGCAGACGTTACTGCCGTGGAGGTTACCGTTACTATAGCCATGCCAGAGTTAGACTATACAGTAATTATCAACGGCCAATCGCCTGCTCCCTCTCATCAGCAAACGGTGGCCGACTCGTTAGGATTGCCGTGTAGTGTTTGCTAACTTGCTGTTCTGAAACCTATATCTCTCTATATATGCATATGTATATATCTGCGTGAATGATGGTCATCTGGCAGGCAGATATACCAATGTGCTTGCTCTCACAAAACTAAGCATGCTTAAGAACGTTTTTGAAGATAGCTACTGTTTTAAACGTTTTCGTTACAGGATCCAAGCATTGAGCGAACTGAGTGTTACTGACTGTCTGTCGCCTATGCTGTGGCAGTTCTGAGGATTTACTATGTTCATTCCCCATTGATCTATATTACGTTGCGATTGGACAGGAGAAGCGTCCCACACTGTAATTAAGGGGGAGAGGTTTTGAACCTCGCACGTCAAAGCCAATGGTCTTTTTGACATTACCGCTTCCAGTATATTGCATATTGTATTGTGATGTGGTGTAAAAGCTTAACGAAAAAAAAAATCGAGTAAAATGAAAATGAAACAATATAAGGTGGTAAAATATACAAGAAAACAACAGATTTCGAAAAAAATGAACAAATCGTAATTAAAATTGGAAACCCTTGAAAAACACTATAAAAACCTAAATACTGTTCCGGAAGAATAGTACAACCTGCTTTATTAATGACATCTGCCATATTAGGGTGAATCCTATTAATGCTACGTCCTCAAATTAAAAATAGCGTTAGTGAAACTAAGCCATTAATATGGGAACAAGAAAATACGGAAGTCTCGAAATAAAATTTAAGAAATTAAAAAGTATTTAAATGTAGGCCCTTCCAAAAGGACAAGAATAATACGACCATCTGTTCCTGAAGTTGAACCGTTATTTGTGTCATTCAACGACATTCGACATGAATATCTAGGGTAATTCGAAGTTATGTCACATATTCTTTTTCAGAAATTTGGGAAGTGACTTAAGTACCTAGTAGTTTAGGACCTAAGTATATGGTTTTTCGATACTTTTTGGAAATGTCGCATGCAAGGTCCGGAACATCTAGGTACCGAAACAAGCGAGTACCGCATCGCCCTTATTCCGTTAAGAAAGACAAGACTTACAGCGACCTTCAATATTAAAGGAAAAGTTTATGTATAATTATATGAACGACTCAGAGGTCAAAATCATTATGCAAAAGGCTTTTTTTTTCAAAACAAATCATTCTTAAAAGATCTTGAGATTGGATATATTTTTTGACAAATAAATTATAATGCTAATGTCTCTAAACTCATATTTGCATGTCCTTAGTACTCATATGTAAAATCTTCATAAAGTCGTATCGATCATTAAGAGTTGTTTAGCGAAGTAACACATCTGTCTTCAATGTAGCAATTTGACTTATAAAATTATAATCAAATTTCCGATTTTATTTCGGGTTGGAATGAAATTTCCGAAAAAATAAATAAATAAGTAGACAGGTTTTCGGACAACGTTATGTAGGAACATATGAATTTCACAAACATAATAATTTGTGGAAGTATCAAGACAGACGTAAGATGTAAAATAAGTAAGTTTTGCTCTGATTTAATGTAATTGAGTCTCAGAAATGTCTTGTTTTGGATTTATTTATCTGAAGACTAGATGTCTTGGTAATGAGAATCCAGTGAATGCAACATACTTCGAAATTTCAAATAGCTAGTGGGTTCCAGATACTAAACACTTCTGGCATAGGAACGTCTGACTCCTGGACTTATTGAATCTGTAAGAATAAGATATGTCAAATCCGGAGATGTTTGATTAGTACTATACATCATGCATAGCGTGTTAAGTATACTGTGTCACACATGCATGTATTTTTCTCTAACTCCTTAGGGGATTTCCAAACCATTTGACACGTTCTTTAAAAGTAAATTCCAACTTGCAGTCCAAACTTTTACAAAGCTAGGCAGTATACGGGAAAGTCAATAGATTGAAAAAAAACCACCGAAGAGTCTATGAAACACCAATTCAAACACAAATCGGTGAAAAAAAGAAAAATGCACACACGGACACTTGAACGGATCAAAGATAATAAGACCAGGTGTTCCCGAAGGGTAGGCGTTTTCTGCTTCTTTGACGACACCGGCTATGTTACTATATGTTTACTCCAAGTAATGTCATGTTCACAAGGTGAAAACTGGGGTAGGCGCAATAAAACAAAGAAAATCATCGACTTTCAAATCACGTAAGAACTAACATGCTTCCCTATGATAGATTGGTGGCGACTTAAACCTTGTCCTTAGTGTTCATCAGCCTGATTTTTAAGAAACGATGTGTTTATCTGTCACAGTCGAAATCTATAAAAGAGGTCATACTATTCGGAACAAACTCTTGGATATCGAATAGGCACAAATGTATACAGATTTTTAAATTGTAGATGGGTGATCTAATACATCCTGGCGAACATCACTATACAATGTTTAATGTCCTGATGGTGTCTGATGTCGGTGTTGTTTAATGTCCTGATGGTGTCTGATGTCGGTGGTTTATTTTTGTTTTTTGTTTTCTTTGTGTTTTTGTTTATTAATTTTTGCTTTGTTATTATATTTTTTTTAGAAAAAAATAACCAAATCGGAAACGCACAGCTATGCATCATAGCCGTATCATTGCAATTTGACAACTGAAATATCAATCATGCCGTTATATCGTTTAATAAAACGTCTGATATGATATGATCATTGATAAACATTGGTACAAAAGAAGAGCTCATCCAATAGCCAATATACATACACAACCTTTATGTGAACGCATGCTATTGAAAGCAAACGTATAGTCCGTTATATTTAACCATTCGAATAATTGGTTAAAACGACATATAATTCTATTTTATTTTACAATTTCTCAAATATAAGAAATATACATACTAATTGTTGTTATCAGTGTAGATATGCATGTGTATTCATGTATATCATGTATTGTCTTTTTTCATTATTTGTTTTTAATAGATACTGTTTATGATAAAGTTGTTTAATTCTGCGGGGCTAATGTTTCCTGATCACAATTAGTTTCGCGATACATTTCCCTGAAGTTGATATTTTAAATGTATTTCTATTCGTCGGTAGTACATGTAAAAGGGTAAACAGTTATTTTCTTTTATCTTTTATATTTACACAGTATTAATATTAGCTGGGTAATCTTATTTCTCGATATCTTTGGTGACCGCTTATATAGCGAAATTAAATATCCTGCGATAATTACCCAGTATGTATACTAAATAATGCGAAGTATTATACGCATCAAAATGCATAAAGGGATAAGAGAGTCAAATTGACATAACAGTCGATGTCATCCTACAATTTTCTGAGCATATGTTTTTTAGTTATTATCCAGGGTTGTTACGACAATCGCCCAGAAAACGGAGCACCATTGCCGCCATCATGTCTGTCTCGAAGCGGAAAATTAGTTTGTAGTTGTTTGACGAAGTTGCGTTATATGTAGTTCCTAAATGTCTTATTGTAGCAATTCTACTTGTTTTTTTTATTCTCATCAGAGAAAACCAATCCTTTCTTCATCTTGCAAAGAAAATTGAAACCACCTTTTCCAAATAAGAGCATTAATAAAAAGCAAATAATGGAGAGGAAATTGAATGCTCCGGATTACCCTTACGTCGTTTAATTGCTTTTTTATGACTGTTTTATGATTTTAATTTGATTTTAAACGGGAGGAAGCTGTCTTGAATTTGAAAAAGGCAATTTATTGATGAAATATTTTAAACTACAATGTTGTACATACACAGGTTTCCTGATTTCGGTAATATGACGAAAACAATGGACAATTCAAGACCCTAGTCTAACAAACAAAGCATAAGGAAGCATTTCGCTTTATAAACACAACTGTTGGGAGTATACAATCATTAAAGATATAATGACATTTTGCGCTAACAAATATGCTAGTAAGCTATTTGTTCATCTAAAATATATCAAATATTTGACACAATCAACTCTAACAAACTGTATAGTTCATACATGTCACAGAAAATATTGTTTGATCGAATAAATGTACTTATTCATGTCAGACTCCTTGCTACAAGAGTGGTTCCGAAGCACATTGATTTAAATCTGAAACATGGCTTCGAATTCTTCAAGAGTTCTTAGCTCTTTCAAAATTGTACAAATCACTACAGATCCAAAAGAACATATTGATGCAAAGTTCCTCGACAGATAGGGACCTTGACGAGGAAGAATATCATCAGTCCTTTGTAGAGACAAACCGCGTCGCACCTGACGATAACAGACTCTATTTGTGAGCTATAACTTTAAATTGACACTGTGTTTAGAATGTAATGAAATAAAGAGCATCTTCACTGTAATAAGAAAATGCTACATCAACTTTTCTCATTCTGAAAAGTTTGGAAAATTGACGAAATGCGTGAAGCGGTTCTGTTGTAATTCATTGGGATTGGCCGTCATGGTATGTCGTTGTTACACAGACGAAGTAGCATAGGCGCAATCGCATGCTTGTGTATTCCGTTCATCGTTCTAGAAACATGGAGGCTCAGCTGGTGGATTTCTTAGTCCTAGTCCTCGAGGTATGCCCTTAATCCTTTCACCACTGTAGATCGTAATGGACGCATCCATATCAATGCCTGGTAGACTCTACTGGTGGATATTTCGGTCCATGTGGTTTGCCGTTACCTTGACGACCACAGTTGCATCTCTTTTGAGTAGTTGCATAGTTCATAACATAAACACTTTACTTATTAATTTGGAATTAACCAGATCATTAAAAACACACATCAATAAGGGATTGTACGCAACATCTCTTCCCGTTGTTTCAATAGCTTCAACATTTATTTAGACCGATTAGAATTCCAACTTTAAATCTCTAGAATCACCTATACTAAACTGAAAAGGTATAATCACCTAAGCGTGTGCGTGTTACGTTTATCGTTGATAGCCGCAGTAATCCTGTTTTAGTAGGGACAGGTTTCAAAATTAACTCTCTTTACTCATTATTTTAAGGAGGAAACACATGTGTGTGAACTTCGTTCGTTTTGTACAGATATTTGATGTCAAATGTACGATA